ATTACCGAGAATTAAATTGTTGAGTTTTACTCACGCCAATTTTAACACCCGTAAATTGTAACAATACATTGCAAATACGATGCACATATGGCGTCGACGTCACAAATCTATTTTTTATTTTCTTAATCTCCCCAAATCGCGAACTAATGGGAAGTGTTTTATTAACCCCATAAGACGTCTCAAAATGGTAATAATATGGTCTCCAAATTGTTTCTTTTGGAATTCAACGTCTAATGTTTTTTATCTACTGATAAATGTCCCATTTCATACATAGATCTCTAATTTAGTGTCTAGCATAGTGTATAATAATTTAATTTTAGAAGATATAGTAGTTCACAGTAAATCATAATTAATTGGGATTACGTCAAACAAAGCAGAATTATATATGTATGCGTTTTGATTTGTACCTACACTAACAATAATTGTAGGTAACTAATTGCATTAATCAGTACCCACATATTTGGGGATTCTAATCAAGTAACACCCTTTGTACATAATTAATTGCTGATTGAAGTTTGCAGACCAATTTTGATTTTATTGAATCCCAAATAAATTGCCGCTTAAATCAGCAACGTGCGTGCGTTGATTAGGGAAAAGCTGATTTGCGTCATCCTCTCAGCATCACCTATATTACCTATAATGTTGTGTAACTATAAAGATCAATCCGAAATTTTAAGGAAAGTTCGTTCCGCATCCCTTATTAAACCTGCTGATAAAGGTGTGTTTAATTATTAAAATTTGTAAGCGGGATGCTGCGACGGGGTGAGAACGAAACTCGACGACATCTGACATCTTTCCGCATCAACGGTTGCCAACTTTAAATGAAATGGGTACGTTTTCATAAAGTTAGCTGCCTTGGAATTGTTAGGTTTAGGCAAGCAGAATAATTAAGATACTTAGGGGTGTATCAAGCATATATTACATTCCTTCTATGACTATATTAGTGCAATTTGTGCGAACAATGCCTGCAATTACTGTCGACTCACAATTAATTCTAACGATTCGCGAACTTTCACGATATATCATCTGTGAAGGCGCAACTTTTACGTATTTATTTTTTCGGGGGCTCAGTTGAATTTAATGGTGTGTGCATCGATTTGACTGGAACAAGCGAAAAAGTCGAAATAGGGGTTGTTGCTGCAAATGCCTTGAGATGGACCTTAGACAAGGACCAGTCAGAATACCGACATAAGCAAAAGAGAGTCTGGACACGTCTCGCCAAATTTATTATGGAAATGTACGTTCCGTATTCAATTGGGACGTGATCCTGTTTAAAATGGAGGCATATTTTACAACTGCCAGACCTGGACGCTGCTCTTTCCACAACGCGGACTTTCGTCTTCGACGTCTGGAATATCGCGTCTGGTTTGCCAGAAGCGATAATAAAATACTGGCGGCAAGTGAGATTTTATACAATATTTTATTACGCAGAGATTATTACAAATTTTAGTGAATACGTTTTACTTCATTTGCAGTACGAAGCTATAAAGCAGTTACTAATTCAGATTAACATGCAGGCAACAAACAAAACAAATTAACAAATATTACCACACAATATATTTTTGTATTATTATTATTATTGTTTTAGAATATCAAAAGAGAAAGAGTTTATAGTGTTCTACTTAAAAGAAGATATTATAATGTTGTGGTTATAAACAAAATCCATTCAAGTAAAAACGTGTCAAGACGATTTTTAAATAAGTTTACAGAAGGAATAGAAACCGTATCACCAGAAAGATTGTTCCAAGAATAAAAGATTCTGTTAGACCGAAAATCCTGCCGAAGTTTGGTGTTGAAAGTCTTTTTTATCAGTTTAAATTCGTGGCCGCGTATTCTTGAATTTGAATTAAATGAGAGGAGATGGTTTATCGCGCAAGTAAATAAATTATGAATAATGCGAAAAGCAGTGATCAAATCTTCAAACTGGAACTAAAAATAGCTGATTTAAATTTATTCAGCCAAACGATGTCGACCGTATACTGTACAAGTAGCTGAGCGTTGAATACACTTAGAAAGAGTACGATCATACTTCCGATCTACATTCCTAGGCAACCAGCATAGTCAAAAATACAATAAGTTACTATTTATAAACATTTTTAGATGTATCTTTTGAAAACTTTGTGTGGCAAAAATAAGTTGTATTTACCTTAAACGCAAATGCTTTGAACATTGTACTGTCAAGATCAGCTTGTAGAAAAGACACACAGTACAATTTACCATCACTTGCAAAAAAATATGTTAAAACTCTCTATCAGAAATCTACAAATTCTCTGAAAAATTATAAAATTTGATTTTGCGATTTTTGTTTTGTGATAACGTCGATAAAATAAAAACCAGTGGCGTATATAACACCCCTACAGCCCCTGCGCAGTGTGGGTGCAAATTTAAAGCAGATAAGCAAGGGGAAAAATTGTATTCTCAATTTCTCAGTAGGCACATCCTTAAATTCGAATGAATTCGACTATTAGCACGTTCAACTAACAAGCATTAGCGGCGGCATTTATGTTAAAAGAAAATAAAACTTGATTGAGTTTATTTCCTCAAGCCAGAAGAGAAGATTAATTAATAAAGCACACTTAGTTTTTTATCCCAGAAAATTGGATGTGTAATTGTAAGCTGACGTCATCATTTTTTAGGGAGGTTATAAATAAATAAATTTTAATTAACCATGCTTCTTATAGTTTTAAAAGGTTTGCAATACTTCACAAAATTCGGTTTTACAATTCTAAAGCTTTATACTGTAAAATGTTATTATACAATTTTAATTTTTTTTACAAAAATTTAGATGTCTTTAGGATAAAAACTCAACACAGATTCATAAACTACAAGATTATTTTATTTTATAAAAAATAAATAACATTTAGCAGTGTAAATTTTGAAAATGACGTCATCCCATTGTTGGTGGGGATGCTTAGGCAAATGTTGGTTAGTGTTTTAGCTTCTACACAATATTCCTAACATACCTACATATAAAATCTGACGCTCTAGTAGTTTTCGAGATTATCCAATAAAAAACGACCAAGACAGACAGACAGACAGACAGACAGATAGACAGAAACCCGAGACCTACTTTTTCGTATTATAGAGGTATGAAACATCGAGAAAACATGAAAACAGTCGGATTGACTCTATTACAATGCTTCTTTAGCTTAGGATTGAGAAGTAATACTTAATAATACGTCTTGAAAAGTAAATATATTTGTCATTTATTCTTATTATACATATTTTTAATTGTAGCTTATTAAAATTATTTAGTAATTTAATCGATCGTTCAATGGGATTTGATTTTAAAATAACTGTCACAAAACATTTTAATGCTTGGGAAGGACTGTTACAATTAATGTCACAGACACCTTAGTTGCTGATTTGTATCTAGGAGTGTAACTCCAAATTATTAAATTCAGTAATTCCGTTCTTCTTCTCGAAATAGCCATGGTTTTAATAAATTTAAAACGTTGAAAGAAATAAGTCAACGCCACATATAAGTATGGATAATTTTGCTAAGGTTTGCTTACATGTTTCGATACAATCGTATAATCTTCAGAGCTACATATTGTTACGTTGATTGGTGATTAAAATCGGGGTGGATAAAACTCAACAATTTATTATTTCTTAGTAACTCGAATTTACACGACTAACATACAACGATTACGTACAGAATAATTCCGACTCGACTGGAATGGATTTGACTAGACTCTACTTCTCCCGTTGTCTGGACTTCACCGCCTGCTCCCGACAGCGGTTCCCATTTAAATAGCACACAGTCCTTCGCGAAAAATTGCCATCACCGCTTCTAGGCTTGTTCTGGAGCACCCATCACGACTTCCGTTTCCAGGCTTTCCTTCAGCGAACGCCGACCGGCCGCCGTCACCGACGATGAGTCACCCATCATCAACGCACATACTAGAAAACCCATAGGCGTCGTACCAGGGCGGCGTATGGGTTTATTTCGTAACAGGAAAAATTGAGTGTCAAAAACAAAATTAATGAACCCTTAGATACCATTAGAGAAACATATAATTTACATTATTATCTATTTTATGGATGACAGGACTCAGATCACTTGGCTCAAGGAAAAAGTCAAAACGAATTACAAAACTTTCAACAACATTAACACTTCCTTAAAACATATGTATTCGTATTCTAGGTTTACCTTTTTGCTACACTCCATTGAATTTTCTGTACTAGATCATAATCTTCGGGATTTTGTTAAACTTAAAAGCAAAATAAGGTTTGAAAAACTTAAGAGCAAGTTGCACAGACAAGAACAACAACTTTGTAGTGTCAAATGCAGATAAAGAAATTTGTGCAATTATTTAGAAAAAGACGATTATAATATGAAAGTAGAGTTTTCTAACCTCGAGACCCCACTCTTAAATTTATGTCTATTTTACGTTCAACTTTAGAAGACACAGCCAACATACTTACATTTTTCGAGAAAAATAAATCCTGCGTCAAGTCCCCGATTATATGGTCTCCCCAAAATTCAAAAGCTGTGTGTGCTCTACTCTTCAGTTACAAAATTTTTTCTCCGAATAATTTTGTAAGATATCTAATATGCAATTTATATTATTATACAGTTTTTCACACCATTGCTACCTACAATTCTTTTATACCATATCAACCGCTAGATGGCACCCTTTTCTAGAGACATTTTTCAACCATACTCAACAGATGGCCCCCCATTGTCGTACCTTGCCACACCATCCGCTAGATGGCCCTGTTAAAGGTTTGTTCTTTATTTGTTGTATGTATTCTTCTTTTCACATAACTAGGATGTAGGTAGCCATTACCATGTATAAAATACATAATGTGTTTCATTTGTTATAAGAAAGAGGCTTGTTTTAATTATAACTTTAATAACTAAAACATGTGTAACATTCTACAAGTACCAAAATACATAGTACATTAATGTTGGTCATTGCCAACTTAACTTATTCTCACTAAATGGCAGGGATGCCAATAACACTTGTAACACCCCCCTCACTAAGATTACAAAACTATTGGAAGGTTGAAGGAACACTGTACACTTCATAATCTTTGTATTTGGATGGCATATTTCTATTTCTGTGAGGTCGACTTACAGGTTCCTTACCTGAACATACATTTACATCATTATTAATTTTTGTTGGGGATGACACAGTTTTAAAAGGGGTCGAATTATTCATACTAGGGGTACATGTCTCATTTTCAGAATCAGAAATTGGATCGACAACATTACCACGCGGAACAAACTCCTTTTTCGATTCACGAAGGTGACGTCTATTTCTCCTAAACACTTGACCTTGCTCAGTTTTTACAATATAAGACCGCGGTGTGTCGTATTTATCTTCTACTTTTCCCTTTTCCCAATTGTTATGATTCTTTACATACACATTTTGACCCGGTTCAAATGAAGACAATGTTTTTGCACTTCTATTATAGTACTTTTTTTGATTTATCTGACTAGATTTTAATTTATCATGTACATATTTCGGGTTTATATTTTCAGTATTTAATAATTTGTTATTGACAGGTAATTTTGATCTTAAACGTCTATTATTTAGTAACTGACTTGGTGAAAATCCTAAAGTTACAATTGGTGTTGTCCTATACTCTAACAGTGCTAAGTCTATATCAGTATTTTTTCGAAACAAATTTTTTACTATTCCTACACCTTTCTCAGCTAGTCCGTTAGATTGCGGATAATTTGGGCTAGTAGTAATGACTTTAAAATTCCACTGATTCGCGAAATTTCTGAAATTAAAGCTGTTAAATGGCATATTATCTGCAATAAGGACTTCAGGAATACCTTGTCGTGAAAAAATTTCTTTAAAATGCTTGATTAACTCATGAGAATCTTTATATTTCAACTTTTTCAATTCAATCCATTTACTATATGAGTCAATCACAACAAGATACTCATTACCAGCATAATAAGCTATATCAGCTGAAATTCGAAACCATGGTCGCGTTGGACATTCATACGACATAAGAGGTTCCTTTTGCGGATTTCTATTAAACTTCTCACACATTTCACAGCCTGATATATATTCATATATGTCTTTACACATGCCTAACCAATACAATACTTCTCTAGCTCTAGCTTTGGTTTTTTCTATACCTAGATGGGTTTCGTGTAAAATTTTTAACATATAACTTTGTAACGATTGAGGAACTACAATTCGTTCATTAAAATATATAATACCATTATTAACTGTAATGTCATGTTTAATTTTCCAAAAATGTTTAACTACCTTTGAATATTGTTTAACATTATTAGGCCAACCATGTTCATAAAAATGTAAAATTTGTTTTAGATCTTGATCATTTTTTGTTTCTTCTTTAATTTGGTTCTGCTTTCCATCTGAAATTACAATTTCCTTTTGTAGTGTGTGAACTGTAAAATCTACACTATCAGGTTCTATCTCATTTAAAAACGATCTGGATAAATAATCTGCAACAAACATTTGTGAACCCTGCAAATATTCAACAGTTATTTCGTATTTGAGCAATTGTAATCGCATGCGTTGTAGCCTAGCAGAAATTTGGTTTATTCCTTTTTTGAAAATTGACTCTAATGGTTTGTGATCAGAATTAACAATAACATGTCTACCATAGGTATAATAATGAAATTTTTTACAAGCAAATTCAATAGCATACATTTCCTTTTCAATTTGTGCCCAATTTTGTTTGTTAGAACTTAAAGCTGCAGATGCAAATGCTATGGGCTGATTATTATTGGACAATAAAACTGCACCTACTCCATCTTTTGAGGCATCAGTTTGTATTTTTAGTTGTTGATTACTAGTAAATATACCTAATGTTGGTGGTTTGGCTATAATAGCTTTTAGTTTATTGAAACTTTCTGTGTGAATTTTATCCCATTGAAATGGTGTATTTTCTTTAGTTAATTCACGCAATGGAGCTGAAATTTGGGACATATTCGGTATGAATTTACTTAAATACTTAAGCATACCAAGAAATTTTAACAAATGTTTTTTGTCTTTAGGAATTTGAAGCTCAGTAATTGCTTTAGTGAATTTTGAATCCATTGCTACACTATTTTTACTAATAATGTGACCACAATAACGAATAGTTTTTACTTTAAATTGAACTTTGGTTGAATTTAATTTAACATTGTTTTGAGCTGCTCTATTTAAAAACAATTGCAAATTACGATCATGCGCTCTTTCATCTTCACCTGAGATTATAATGTCATCAAAGTACACGTGTACTCCTGGGATATCTCCAAACATTTCTTCATTTTTCTTTTGGAATACCTCTGGACTGGATTTTAGACCAAATGGAAGACGATTGAATTTATATCGACCAAAAGGTGTATTGAACGTGCATAACTCGGAGCTTTCTTCATCCAAAACAATTTGCCAAAACCCTTGACACATGTCGAAGACGGAAAAATATTCTTTGTTGCTTAGTTGTGCAATGATGGTTTCCGGTGTTTGAATTTGATATATTTCCCTCTGAATTGCAGTGTTCAGATCTTTTGGATCAAGGCACAGGCGTAGTTCACCATTTGGTTTCTCGATGATTACCAAATTATTCACCCATTTCGTTGGTTTGCTGACTTTGCTGACGATTCCTTCTTTGCTGAATTTTTCCAAAGTTGTTTTCAGTCTTGTATGTAGACTTAAAGGGACCAGTCTTGGTGGATTAATTACTGGCTTGACTTCTGAGCTTACAGTGATGTGATGTGTTCCTGGAATTTTTCCAATGCCATTGAAGATTGATTTGTATTTTTCAGTAACCATTTCCATTGTTAACTCGTGAATGTACTTCTGTGGCTCATTTACTTTGGTTGATCTGGAAATTAATTGCAATTTTAGACAATCTTGTAACCCAAGAATAGCACCAGAACTAGGGTTAACGACGACGAAATTAACTTCTGCTATTTGATTTCCAACTTTCAGTTTCAGTGTCACTTGTCCAACTGGAGTAATTTTGAAGTTTTTATTTCCATACGCTACTAGTGTGACATTTGTAGGCTGCAATTTCTTCTTCGTGTTCAGTGATTTGAAGTCATTATACAGAAGTACTGATACTTGAGCACCAGTATCAATTTTGCAATTTAATTTTTGACCTTGAATTTCCACTTCTTCGTACCAAGTGTTTTCTTCCGCAGTGATTCCATCAATATTAATTATTTTCGTAGTTGGTTTCCCAGTTTTCATCTGCTTCATTGGTTGTTTTTTCTTGTTGATCGCTGACACATTTGCCATAGGATGCTGATTTCCCTTGGAAAACTCGTTGATTTGGAATTTACTTATTTCGGCACTTCTGCACTTTTCTAGTGTTTTCTCTAACGTAATATCTTTTTCGTTAATTAGTTGTTCCTGTAGACGTGTTTCTCTTACGTTGAATATAATTTGATCTCTAATTATGGAGTCTTGTTGGTTTCCATACTCACATTTCATCGCTGCATTTTTTAATTCAGTTACGTAGGCATCAAAGCTCTGTCCTTCCTTTTGTCTTATTTTCAGGAAACAGTACCTCTCGTAGATCACGTTTCTTCTCGGTTTGCAATGGTCTCCGAACTTATTTAAAACAATTGCGAGAGTTAAGTCTGCTTGCTCACCTAATTTATAGGAATTGTAAATTTTTACTCCTTCTTCCCCTACTACGTTGAGAAAGATCGCTATTTTCCTTTTTTCTGTCTCGTCCTCTTTCGAAATTGCCATTAGAAAAAGTTCAAATTGTTGTTTCCATAAATCCCATTTGAACGATACGTTTGTTGAAAAATCCAACTCTGGGGGCCTTCGAAACATTCCCATTTCTTGTGCCATGTTAGTATTTATTGTTACTTTCTTCAGATGACTTGGATTTTTGTGAATTTGCAGTATTTGAATTTGCACGTGGTTATCCTAACCTCAATTTGGGAACTTGCACTTACGATACATCCATCTGTTGTATTTGTTTAGGTGGCTGATCGTTTTCCTAATAATCCATTATTATTAATCCCACACTGACACCATGTTTCATTTGTTATAAGAAAGAGGCTTGTTTTAATTATAACTTTAATAACTAAAACCATGGCCGACTAGTATAAAGATTATGGCCTGTCCAACGGAATGCCAAAGGTACCATACGTGCTGCCATCTATTAATAATTCAAAATCGACAAAAGAATTATTAACACCTTTTGAAAGGCACAAAGGCATTCATACCCAAACAAACCACCATTACACGTTTTGAAGTCCCATAATGTCAAGTCAAATAAAAATTTTGCTAAATTATTAAGTGTAATTATTAATAGATGGCAACACGTATCGCACCTCTTGGACAGGCCATAATCTTTATACTAGTCGGCCATGCTAAAACATGTGTAACATTCTACAAGTACCAAAATACATAGTACATTAATGTTGGTCATTGCCAACTTAACTTATTCTCACTAAATGGCAGGGATGCCAATAACACTTGTAACATAATGAAAGGTCTATGTTTCTCTAATGATAAGTGTTCACTAATTTGGTTGTTGATAATCAGTTTTTCCTGTTTAATGCATGTAGCATTGAAGATGATGCGATAGTATCGAAACATGTAAGCAGATCTTAGTAAAAGTATTTACATATGTAGCGTCGACTTATTTCTTTCAAGGTTTTAAATTTATCCAAATTATTAGTTGAACAAGTCGGTCAGTTGCTGGTTATTAAAAATAATGCACAATTGGAAAGCGAGAAGCGAGTAAGGCAAGGTTGCATCGGTTGCACTGCAGATGGGTAGTGGGGATGAATAACTTTCGACCATCGAGCTTTAAACAACAACGTTGACGGCGCCGTAGACACCAAACAATTTGAAGTTTCCTGGGTTATTTTAAGGTTACCATGGCAACGGAAAGCAAAAAGCACGTGTGCGGGAAGTTCGACCTCCCGCATCCTGGTAACTGCGCGAAGGTCATTAGTGTAAAAAATTTTGCGAAAAACCGTGCGCGGTAGAAAAAATAGTATAAATAACTCGTTCATAAGGCCATTGTGGCACTCATCCATCGTGCCTTAATGTTTGCCTTATGAAACTCGTTTTTAATATACTATTTTGGGGTTGATAAACAGATACATTTTGATTAAAAAGTTACTATGCCTATAATAACTTCAAAACATCAAGATTTCAAAGTGTTCAGTTCTGCAATTTATGATTTAACCAATAAAATAAATTGACTCAGTCATTTTTTTTTCAGACACCCCGTATAAGCGAATCTAAAAAATATTAATGCAGTGATAAATCACAAGTATAGAGTGATCATACTTTGCACATTCAAGATAGTATTTTTTCAGAGAAGTTTTGGGGTGGCAGTATCAATTTTGTAGGGGGGATGAGCAAATACATTTTGATCAAAAATTTACCATGCCTATGATAACTTTAAAACATCTTCAATATTTCAAAGCATTCGGTTTTGTAATTCCTGATTAAATCAATAAAATAAATTTACGCATTAATTTTTTTTTCAGACACCCCATATATGCAAGTCCAAAAAATATGAATAGAATGATAAATCACAAGGACAGACTGATCATATTTTGTACATTTTAGATAGGTTTTATTCAGCAAAAATTTTGGTGTCGCGTCATCAATTTTTTAGGGGGGATCAGCAAATACATTTTGATTAAAAATGTATCATACTTAGCATAATTGTAAACCATCTGCACGATTTCAAAGCATTCGGTTTTGCAGATTCCAAAGTAAATTACAAAATGGTGTTTCATAATTTTGATTATGGACTCTATTACAACATTCCCGTAGCTTATGCCCTCGAGAATTAAAAAATAAAAATTTTTGTATTAGAATACAGAATCTGCTGGAAGTACGTACTTTCACATTAAAAAACTATTTTTTAAATACATGATGTATGTATATCTTTTAGTATTCCTAGGTTATACATTAATACATTTTCAATTATGAATGTTTTCTAAATTAGATATTTGTTGTATTTACGACGTCGTTCAAAATGAGTTAAATTGAAAATCCCTGAATACAGCGAAAATAACGTGTATTTTTCAACGAAATGATAGTTGTGAACTTTAAAACTTCCACCTACAAATCGAATTCAGCTTCAATTGTCATTAAATCCTACGGAAAATTAACTTCCGTAAATCTCGACACACTTATCGAACAACTTTAACGGGAGATTTAAAGTGCAAGAGATGTGATGGTACCGCTGTTTTAGACAGTGAGTTGGAAAGAACTAGGTACATGTGATAACTTACGGCCGTTTGTTTGGTTGTTTGTTTCCCTCAAGACAGCAGTGGACAGCTCCAGCGAGCAATTTAACCGAAAGTTTGTTGCAATAAATGTAGTGGTGAAGAGCGAAAGCTTAAGACCTTGTGTAATTTCGCACATCCCACCCAGTTTTGAGCTTACTTGGAAAATGTTTCGAAAATATAAGCCGACTAAAATGGCAACATATTCCGAGTCAAAAGCTCAGAAGTAAATACATGAATCATAAGCAAAGAATGTAAAGTTTGCACATTTGACTAACAATAAGAGAAAATGGCCAGTTTGTAATTTGACAAATCAAAATTAAGTGCATTAAAATTTGTGTGATTAATGAATATGTAAAATATGTATTATATTCCTTAAGAGTAGTTCCTTTCGCCGGAAATCCGCTTGTTTCGTTTTTGTTAATTTTTCTGTTATTTACAAAATCTGACAAATATTTAGATTAAGTATCAATATCAAATGTAGTTTATTTTATCATATCAGTGTTGGTAATATTAATATACAAAACACGAGTTAAGGTGACAAATTCAATTGCATAAAACAACTCAACCTTGATATTATTGTACCTTATATTAGTCAATTTACCGACTTTATTTTTGGTTTTACCCAGTTTGATTTTTATTTTGATAGAAGTGGTGCAGCTTATAATATCCCACGTACACATGCTTTTAGAAAATATCGCTATATTAATATATAAATAGTTGAATTTAATTTATTAATATGTTCGTTATTAGCTGTTTGTTAGTCAATATTAGTTGATTACAAAGATACGTATTTCCAGTAGAAGATGGAATCTAAAAGGATCTGAACTTGTTTGCCATTTTTATTTGTTGATCTGTTTGTTTATCGATTCAATAAACGAAATGAGAAACCATTTCAAACCTGTGACAAATTGGGCTAAAAAGAAAATAAACTTTATAACTAACATTTACAATCACGTTACGTATGTTCAAGTAACGTGATAAGAAATATTCTTATAATGGTCACAAACTGTGAAAGTTTGTAAACATATTCTTAAAATAATAATTAGTGAAATATATTCATGCACCTTCGATTTATCACTCGCTATTTTTATATTTTGACTGAATATTCCAAAGTCGAGATGAAACAGAATTAATGACCTGGATCAGTAAAATATTATTTAATATTTCGTTATCGATCGGAAAGAGTTCTTAGAAATATAATGATTAATGATAGAGCTGTTATGATTAAACACTTTGACACAGCAGCTTTGAGATGGGAGCCGTAGTCTGAAATTTTTGCAAGCAAAAAGTCCAAATAGACGAACTTTGTTCAGCTACGTTAAAATATATTTCATTAAACGCTGATTAAAATAATCGAAAGTTTTTAATTGTGTTTGCGTCAAAAGTTAAAGTTGGTTTCGATCGAGTTTTTAACCTGTTCTTGAAACGCTCCTGCCTTCGTTAATGAATCTATTTGTCAAACTTTACAAGTATCGGAAAATTCATTTAAAATTTTCAAGACTCATTGCTCCCCCATTCTGTATTCAATTTTACATCTCGCCACAATAAGTATAATTAAATTTCATCCAGATTTCGCTTCAAAGTTTTAAATCTTTCAACAACAACGGAATGAAACCGTTAATTTGCTAAACATCCAAAAGTTGTCACTTTGCAATGGCGCATATTTACATTTACAAACAGTCCTCGGTGGAAGGAAGTTCCTGGATTTCGCATTTTAAAGAGGTCGACCTGTGTTACATCATAAAAATATTATTGTTACGGCAATAGAGTCATACTTTTTGGGCTCAGCTTTCAATTGCCTTAGAAAAGTGGAAGCCGTCGCACGAAATGAAATAAGGGAACCACAAAGCAAGAATATGCATCATAAAATTTCGAAGCCTTTGAAATTCTTTGTATTTTTGATTAGAACTTTACTTTGTCTTTCCTCCATTTGCGAGTCTTTTTCAACTGGAGGTAAATGATAATGATATCGTAAAACGACTCTTATAATATTCAAATGTTTGTTTAACTTTCGAGTAAGATCCCTACAGAAAGGTTTCATTTATCACTTTAGAATTTCTCCCAAAGTTTTGGACGGATGTTATTAGACTCCTATGTGAATAAATTCGGAACGATCGACTCGTTAAAAATTCGATACTGCTTGCTTATTCATCTGTATTTGGTCGACATACCCTTTGAATTTAAATTACGAGTTATTAAGGAAATTACACAAAAAGTTTTCTCTATTTGCTTTTTGTACTTCAACAACGGAAATTACGTTTAATAACATGAGAACAAAGTTTAAGTAAATATCTTGGCCCGACTTGCCCATAAAGTTAATGTAAGTTGTTGCACATAATGCCGCTTAGTTTCCATATATTTGGACAGTGCACCAGTATGTAGTAATAGTATCATGTTTAGTGTATAAAGTTGCAGATAAGCTTGGAAGCAGAACTGTGACAAGTGGAAGGTCCTAATTCACAGTCAAGACATAATGAGACTGCATACCTTCCGAACTTTCCACCATTTCCACAATTAGTTAAAATATTTTTTAAGAATAAATATGCCTCGAAAAATATTTCTCCTCGTTGATCCTAGTGGAAAATT